GTCACTGGGCAGTCTTAGGCCAGAACTCAGGCAGCTTGTCTTGAGAACCCATTCCCATAATGTCCCTCACCCCAAAACTAAAGGAATATCCTCACTGGATTGTGAAGATTTAATGAGCTAATATGCATTGTTTAATGCCTGGCATGTAGGCACTCAACAAATACTAATTTCCTTCCTTCTTGCCATCTGGATTCCCAGGGATGTAGTGTGGGACACGATGAAAGAAGACAACCCCAGAGACACAGACCAATAGATTTTAGAGGTTGTTTAGTTCGAGCCCCTCACTGGGCAAATGGCTCAGAAAGGTGGAATTATAGATGGAAACAAAGCTTTAGGCTTTCTTGGTCTTCCTCTCTTTTGCCACCATCATTCCCAGAAAACTCCATGAGCCTAGAGGTTTGCTGGATTTTTCACCTTAATATGCCCAACACCAGACAGTAGGTGTTTGAAAATCCCTTTAAATTGAATGAACGAATGAATGAATGAATGAATGAAAATGAATACCAACTTCACTCTGCAACTGAGTTTGAAGTCATGAAGGCTATTTCCTCATGGGAGCTTCCTATCTAGGGAAAAGCCAACAACTCTTGGCTCCCTGCCCTAACCTGATCAATGCTCAGGGATGACTCACTGGCTTGAATAGGAGCCCAGCTTCTCAGCTGAGGTACTGCACAAAGACCATCGTTGGGCCAAGTGGGAGATGGATCACCTGGCACAGACTGCAGGCTTGGAGGAAGGCATAGTATAGTGAAGGGGGCACTAGGTTGGGAGCAAATAGGGTATGAATTTTTCTCCACTTAGGCAGTGGGAGTCAATGACTTAGAAAGATCATCTGATGGGAAAACTTTTGGAGGGATTCTACCATGTGCCCTTATTACGTTGCTTTCTCCATGTTTAAAGAATGAGCACCTGCAGTTTGTTCCCAGAAGGGTGAAACACTGCATCACCCACACACTGACTTTCAGCTTCCATCCATCTCCCCTTAGCTTGCTGTGTGTGCTCAGCATGTTGCTAGACTGAGGTTGGGGTGGGGAGGTTGACAGATTATTTGCTCCTACTGTTAGGTTGAATTGGCCAGAATCTCCTTAACTTCTGATGGTTCCTCTTAGTAATTTTCCATCCACTGACCCCTACCCTGCTTCTTGGTTATAAATTTCCACTTTCCCATGCTGTATTCAAAGCTGAGCCCAACCTCTCCCACTGTGAAATCCCATTTCCCACAATGAAAGTCCTGATACCTATTGTGATGCTCCTTAATAAAGTTTGCTGTCCTGTGCTTTAACAAGTGCATCAAATAACAAAGACTACTAAGAAGGCACGAAGATGCTTGAATGTAACAGACTTGTAGCCTTTATGAGAACAAGGACAAGCAGCAAAACAAAACAAAAAAAATAAACATCAATAATGACAATTAAGGCAAGATAGTGTGACTGTTGGGGAAGCAGCCCAGTTCTTACTAGTTTATTTCAGATTAAAAAGCTTCAAAGGGAGGAGGTAGTTTTGCATCACTATGAGCAGGTGAGAATATGCATCCAGTTAACCAATTCTGCTTAGAGGGCAACTTAATCTTGCAGAAAGGAGACAGACCTCAAGGGAAGAGAATCCCAGGTCAAAAGAAAGACACTGACAAGGACACAGGGACAGTGAAGAACACTTCATTAGGTGGGAACAGACTTGCATAGAACAGTCTGGTCAGCCTATTCTGTCCAATATGGTAGTCACTAGCTACATGCGACTATTGAGCTGTTTAAATGAGGCCAGTGTGAAATAAGATGTGCTCTAAGTAAAATATACACACTGAAATTTAAAAATATAGAATAAAAAAAGTAAAATTTTATATTGATTACAAGTTGGAGTCTTTTGGATATATTAGGTTAAAATAACCATTAATTTCACTCACTTATGTGGCTATTAGAAAATTTAAAGTTACTTATACATGTCTCTCATATTCAACTGGACAGACTGTCTAGACCATCCTTTATTCTTATTTTTACTATTTTGAGACAGAGTCTTGCTCTGTCTCCCAGGCTGGAGTGCAGCGGCATGATCTCTGCTCACTGCAACCTCTGCCTCCTGGGTTCAAGCGATTCTCCTGCCTCAGTCTCCCGGGTAGCTGGGATTACAGGTGCGTGCCACCACACTTGGTTAATTTTTTTGTATTTTTAGTAGAGACAGGGTTTCACTATGTTAGCCAGGATGGTCTCAATCTCCTAACCTCGTGATCCACCCACCTCAGCCTCCCAAAGTGCTGGGATTACAGGCATGAGCCACCACACTTGACCCCTTATTCTTTTTTTAATGTTTACTCTTTTTTTTCTTTCTGCTTTCTTTGCCACAGCCATAGTTTTGGGTAATTTATTTCAAATGAAGCTTCCCTTATCTCATGGGTTACTTAGAAATATCATAAGGAACTCCAAAGGCCTCTGTACTTTAATGCTTCCTTTCTAACAGTTCCGATATTCAAAATGAACAAATGAGTCAAATCGCTTTGAGTCTCTTTACCTCTGAAATTACCATGAGAACATTTCCTTTTACATTCCTGAATCTTCCATGAAAGCTTGGGTTTTATTATTGGATTATTTGCTTCCTGAGGTAATGTGAATTTCATTTCTGGGAATTTGGAAATGATTTTTTGGTAACACTTTAGTTGTTTCCATTTCCTTGTGTCTGAGAAAAGGCACATTGCAATAGTGGAACAGGGCTCTTGGGAAGATCTGTTTTGACTTTTCTTCATTCATGGGCTTGGCATGCTTCTCCTCCCGCTGTGGGGTCTCCACAGCCTCTGGTGTACCACAGAGGAGCATTTGGGCCTTTTCTTTCCACTCCCCTTTCAAAGAGGGGAATTCAGAACACTGGCATTATATGAGGGGAGAAGAGGTAGGATTTGATCAGCAAATTACCTCAAGTCTGCAGTTTAGTTACTGTAATTTGGTTTTTATCAAGGGGGACACAGGTCGGTAGCCTCCAGCTCGGCTTCTCTCCTTCCTCCTCTGCTCTCAGCACTGGGTGGTGGTAGGAGGGGGATGAAGGTTGGGGAAAACTTCATAAACATCTTCCTTGGGTGGACATAAATTATAAACAGAAAAGGCATCACTATTCTTACTACAATGGCATTAAGTATCTCAGATCAATAGCACACCCCAACTGCGGAGTTCAAATAAGGTGGTGAATGTTAGAACTCTTAGAAAAGTGAGGCTACTCAGATGTAAATTAGCATGGGTGCAGATGCGAGAAACCATCATCAAGAGAAGTTTCTTAGAAGTGCTTCAGAAAGCCTTCAAGTTAAGCCCTCAATCACCAAACTAGGAGAAGGAAATACAGGACGAGCTGTACTTGGCCACTTCAAATTGGGCAAAGTAGGAGTCGTGATAGAGATGGATAAGGCTTGGGGGAAGAATTCACTTCTAACTTGATGCTGTCACCCACTCTGGACATGTTCAGAAGGCATTCATGGGGGCAGACAGGGGTCTAAATAATCCCTCAGCACATGGGCATCAGGCTGTGTGCCAGGTGCTGGGAGCACAGGGATGTGGAAGGCACCACCCTGCCTCAAGGGCCTCCAAGGTAGGGAGAGACAAACAAAGTCATCGAGGTAGTGCAGAATGCTAAGCACTGAGGCAAAGAGTAATGGCAAGCACAGAGGGCATCTAAGTCAGGACAATGGGAGGGACAGGTCAAGAGTACTTCCTGCTGGGGAGGCTGGAGCTGACTTCTGAATAGAAGGTATGAGGCGGGTGAGGACAGACAGATCTGAGAAAGCAGAGAGACTTTTAAGAAACAGTGCAGGAGGCTGTGTCAGAGATGAGAGGGAGAGTAGTGGGTATGTGATGATCTTGAAGAGGTGGGGCCTTGTATGGTCTAAGAAACAAGGTTGTTCTTTGTCCTGAAATCCATACAGAGTCCTAAGGAATTTAAAACTGGTGATGGTGAAATGGTAGGGAACGTTTGCATAATCACAACTGCATTCTAGAAAGACCATAGACATGAAATGTGTTAGCTGGGTTAGATACAGTAAGACTATCAATCCACCACTGGGAACAGAGGCTGGACTCAGAAGACTGTCAAGGGGGTAAAGCTACAAGTCTCTGAGACAGACAAGGTAGGATTTAGGTTATCTGTGCTGACAGAGTGTAAGGTGGCCCCATGACTCCGACTTAGAGTGTGGGCAGGACCTGTGACTTGATTCTAGCCAAGATAATATAGCCAAGGTGGAGGGTTTTAGCAAATGTGATTAAAGTCCCAAATCAGTTGATTCCGAGTTAGGCAAAATGAATCCTGCCAACAACCCGGGGCAGCTTTGAAGCAGCTCCTTCCCCAGTTGAGCTTCAGATGAGAACACAACCTTCCACAACTGGGTTGCAGCACTGTGAATCCCTGACCACAGGACCTAGCTGAGCTGTGTCCAGATTCCTGACCCAGGAAACTGCAAGATGATAAATGTGTACTGCTTTAAGCTGCTAAGTTTGCAGTAATTTGTTATGGAGCAAGAGAAAACGAATACAACATCCAAGGTTCCCGGGTTGCCACCCTGGGAACAGCCGGTGAGCAAGATAGTCAAAGCTAGCACTTAGAGAGAATTTACTATATTTGTGATATGCCAGGAATGGCACTAAAATTTCACATGGCTCTGATTACCCACAATAGCAAGCTGCACTAATTGACCATTGTACAAAGGAGTCCTCCTCTTGAGAGACGTGAGCAGGAGAACCCATGTTTAGCAGCACATGGTTGCTGATCTTTTTTTCCCAAGCCCAGGCAAACAATCCTCAATCAGAAAGCAAGTGATTTGTGCTTTAGAAATTCCAGAATCTGTGGGCCCATAATCAAGGATTTTCTTCCTTTAGTTACCACCAGCTGGATTTTAGCAAGTAGCATGAAGCCTACTGAATTTTATGTTTCCAGCAGAGAGGAATGAGCCTCAAGACATTTTGGAATGCATCTCCCATTACATCTTCCATGAAATGACTCGCCCGAAAGGGAAGGCAAGAAATATTAAGACATTTTTCATTACTTACTCAGTTTTATTTAGGTGGACACAACAGTGAAGAACTCAAACATGGTTTGACCTTTATGTACAGACACAGCAGCCTGGATTTTCAGCCTTTCATTCTTCTTTAAATGAAAGTCAGCAGGCTCAAAATGCAGAGCTTGGCTAAGTGACTTCTGTGGAAATATGAAATATAATAGTGATAACCACCAAGGGCTTTCAAGATTCTTGTGTTCTTCTAAGGATCCTTTCTTAACACCATGATTTGTTCTCATCTTTGTGGAAATGAAACCAAGATGGCCTTAATTTGTAAAGTCCTTCTTCATCTGTTGGCAGTCTTCTTACAAAGGATGCAGCAAAAAGAACACACACTTTTCTTTCAAAGTTTTGAAGAAAAATAGTCATTAAAAAGAATTTAAATTATGCCTAGAGCACCATTTTACAGAATACCATTAAATTGTAATTACGTGCTTTTAAAAAGCCAGCTTGTTAAAGAGTAGCTGATGGTTTCAGTTTTTATAGGGAACACTTGTAACACTGCAGAATTCTACAAGGGCTTTCTCCTCTGGTGGGCAGGGAAAAAAAACCACTCAAGTCATAAGAAACTTTTATAGCTTTCAGGAACTTGAAGAACAATTGCTGATTAAATTTCATGCTTTAGTGACGAAGTATTTTTACAGCTAAAAGAGGAAACCCGAAACATAATACATTTCATTTAAAGCAGGCAGAAAAACCAACCACAAATTAATATCTATTGTATTCCACATGACACAATATCATTGTTGTCAATCGTTTTAAATGGTTTCACTTTATTTGTGAAAAATAAAGCCAAAATGCCAACAACTTCTCAGAAGGAACCATTTCATCATCTCCATCCCCTCAGATAAAACCTCAATTACTGGTAATTGTACATTTCCATCAACATCCCCTTTTAAGAGGTTTATTATTTTAAAGCCTCAATTTCCCTAATCACTGAAAGGCAATCTTGAACTTGTATTGAATTTGGAAAGTGCTCAAGACTCACTCCATAATAAGAAGTTAAGGACCATCACTACTTAAGGTGGAAACCTATTCATTTGCAGAAATATTCCTCTCTCTACCAAGAGGCTAATGAGCCTCCCCTTCCCTTCTCCTTTCTAAAAATAAAATCACGTTTGCCTTCTAAAATCAAATCACAGTTGCCAACAAATTAGGATTTATCCTAAGAGTTTGTCCATTCATTTCAACAAACATTTACAGAATGCCTCATCTGGGCCAGTCTCTGTTTTAAGCACTTGTGATACAGCAGTGCATAAAAATTCTCACCCTTACAAACCTTTGATTGACCCAGGACTGACAATAAGGAAAACAAACCAAACACGAGCACATTTTTAAAAGGTGTCTAAAAATCTGCCTCTGATAGCTGAGCTAATTCTCACAGGCACAAACTGCCCTGACCTGAGCTCTCTCTTGGACAAGCAGTTCTCACAAACGAAACATAAACATGCAAACCAGACCCACTGAACAGGTGGAAGTTTCCAGCTTTCTCACAGTACAACTGTAAGGTAGGACATAGTATGTTATAGTGTTATGTCCTTCCTCCCCACATTCCTGTGAGGCGGAACAGGAACAATTACTTGACCCTGGAGGAAGACAATGCCTTGTGGTCAGGGAGAGAACAGCAGTTCATGCCGGCTGCCTGGTCTTTCTAGGCCCGCTGCTGCCCAGGCTTCCACTGACCTTGTTAGATCTGACTCTAGAAAATGAAGGCAGGTACTCAAAAGGTACAGTTCACCCAGAAGAATGTAAATGTGACTGAGCTAAGCAAACGTACAGCTGAGTCTTAGTGTTGGGGGAAGTAGCTTTCATGAAGGCAAAGGGAGCCCCATTGTCTGCTGTGTGGCTTGCTCCTCAGCTGTTGGAGCACAGCTTTTTCAGAGGCATGGACTACAATGACCTCCTAAGGTGCACTGAAAATGTTGGCTGTAGATCTGAGGAGAGGGTCCATAGCTATAAAAATATTTGCAAGGGTGTTGTAACCCCTCGAAGTTTAAGAATCTCTATGATGGAAGTATCTGTCTATCCCTTCGTAAAAGTGAAGATGTGTTGGAACGCTGCTTTCAGAGTACTCTGTGTCCCTCCCAGCTGCAACACTTGTTTCCAGCCTGGTTCAGCAGCTTGCTGGTGGTTTACTAGGCAGATGTGAGCCAGAAACAAAATCAGCAACCCTGGAGTGGTCATTTAGGATCTGTTTGTCTCCTTTTACAAAGCAATGAGTGCTTTTATAAAAGCATTTCTCCTCAGGAAACTGACTCCTCAAAAGTCGTTCTCCAAGCCAGTAGCTCACAGTAGATGGATGAGTTTACCTGTCCTAAAAATACTTTTTTTTTCCAAGCTGAAAGGTATCCCCAGGCCTCCACACCAGCCTTCTGGGGCCCTGACAGTTGTTCAACAGTGGTTCCACATCCTCCACAGGCTTGTTCTCTCATCCCTGCGAGGGAAGGTTCAAAAGGCAACTGGATCCCTTACTATTCAAAATCACTGCGACTATTTTGCACAAATTTCAACCTAGAGGATTTGCAGCTAAAGAACCTTAATGTGGTCATCTGCCTCTGGGAAAAATGATAACTATATTCTCAAAACCAGCAGGTACAGAAACTACAGGAGAGAAAACAAAAATAATGTGGCCTCTCCCAAGAACACAGGGCATTTGCTAGGAGTTTTCTGGCATAGCCTTTACTGTGGCTACACTTTCTCCTCTTAGGCACCAGCCCATGTCTCTGCTGCCTTTTACTGGACTCTGAAGTCCTCAAGGATGGGACCTGCCTATGCGTATCTGCACATCCAACCTGGTACTGGTGACTGGGACATCACAGACCCTACTAGAGTTCAGAGAGTGGGAATGGCTTGGAGACTTCCTGGTCTCCTAAAATATCAATTTTTACCATTTCAAAATACAAATTACGGATAGCCTACAGAAGATGAAGCTTTTTGTAAAAAAAAAATCATATCCTAGAAAATATATCTCATAAATCTTTTTAAATTTTCAAAAGAAACCAGTGTAGAAATTTGTGATGGAACATCTCAGATATGGCAATATAATAATTTCGCAAATTCAATTATTTAGGTTACTGCCATTTCTAAGTCACAGCATAATTCAACAGTAATAAATATCATGTAACAGAATAACTTAAAGCACTGATTGCTGCTTTGATATTTATCATCAGCTTTCCATTTCAGAAAACATCATAGAACTACAAATAAAATCTGCTTTTCTGAATATTCTGAAAGGCAGACAGCAGCTTATATAACTTCTGTTCTTCAGAAAACAGTAATTAGATTATGTAAACAACTGTCTGTAAGAGCCAAAAGTAAACTTGGAGGTTCCTGAGGATTACTCAACTTATGCAACGTGCTAACTTTCTAAGACTAAAACTGGGAAGTTCCACAGATGTTAAAGATGTTTTTGTGTGTATGTGTAAAATGTGAACATAGGATTTACATAGTTGGAATTGGGAACAGTTTTGAACATTTTCTGAATCAGCTTTAAATGTTTATGAAATAAGCTTACATTTGTCTTATCCAACCATTTGTAATCTTTATTCTATAATTCTCCACCAGTGCTAGAATTTTCTTCCCAAATGGCCTCAATTCGGACACTGAATAAACGAAAATGAATTTTTTAAAGCTGTGCTTAAATATAAACAAAATAAACTGCTAAGTTTTTCTGGCTTCAAGCACGCCATATGAAGCACGCCAATGTCACTCACGTGCCCTGATCACATTCAGGCCAAGTGGTCTTCACTTTAAATACTCCTGTGTTCCATTATTGTTTAAGTAAAATCCTGTTTCAAATGCCTTTGATAACAGAGAAACATCCTGTAGACAAACTCTCCGAAAGTGACTGAATTAATGTCTTCTGTGATGTCAGATTTCCCCCCTGGGCTCTTTTGGAAGCATTCTTCCTGAATTGAAGTCACTGTGAATATCCTTTAGATTTCATCTTGTTAACTCAGTTTTCAGTCAGAGCAGCACTTGGGCCTGCTGCCCTTCAAGGCATAGTGCAACAAGTAGTGTTGACGGGACTTCCATCAACCTTACAAGGTTGACAACTAACAGTGTAAAGAGAGTTCGAATGTGGGCCAAGGCATCGGACCTTACACCTAACTTAGGACACAGGTCGATCTTGGATCATTAGCCAGTGAATGCTTTTCTTGTCTAATGGTCTTTAAGGGCACATAAGAAACTCATGTTAAATTATATCCCGACATGTTATTATTCCATGAAAGCAAAACAAATCTCCCAACGTGCTTGTTTTCCAGTAGCTCTGGGTCTTGTCTCACCACGGGTACAGAAACGTATTGCTCCGAGGCTCTGACAGGGCTACTGCTCTTGACTAATCGTTCTTGTCTTTCTGCTTTTCATTTGATGAGGACTTACATATAGTTACTTGCTGCAGTTTACTTATCTCTCAGGTGCTTCCTATGGGAAGATCATAAACCATTCTTCCATAACCTTTTGTTGATCATCATTTCCATTAGGGACTCAGTAAGACATGCTCAATATCTTCACCAAGAACCATTTATTGCAAATCAGCTGTGAAACAACAGGGGTGCTTTAGCCAAATTAAATCCTATGTCACAGATGTCACAGATTTTCAGCTCAAGGAAAAAAATCATCAGCAAGAAGAATCCAGAAGTCTCTGTCGGGCATTCTTCTTTCCATTATTTGCTTTAATTTCACTGTCTATGTTCATATCTGTCAAAATTGAAAACAAATATTTATGACAGAAATATAGCAGGAATTATCAATACTAATCAATTTCTCTTCTGCCAAAAATTCCTCTCACAGTCTATACCATGTTTTGCTTCTTAGCCTAACTTCAGAGCACAGTGAAGTTAGGACAAGAAAATGAATCAATAAACTTTCAGTCCCCTTTGAAAGAGAAAGTCAGAGAGTAACAGAGGAGATCAGAAGTACAGAGAGGAAAACCAGTAAGATAAGACAAAAATAAGCAAGAAAGACAAGGAAGAGTGCTGAGCAAGACAGAGTGTGAGACAGAGAGAGAAGAGGGAAACACCAGAAAAAGCACAGAAGTTATCCTTCTTTGGAAATGTAGAGGAGCACCAATTATTTTCCTCTCTCTCTCAATACTGAGGGGTTCCCACCGCCTCCCCCCAACCTTGGTATTAAGGTTTTTAATGCTTGGAAATGGTTTAAATGATGGGCAGGGTAAAGACTGTCAATATTCCCACAAGGCTGCTACAAAAGCTCTCGGTGGGCTCCTGTAGCCTCTGCCAAAAGCAAACCCTACCTTTGAGCTCTGCTGTCTGGTTCCCCTGCTCCTCTCTCGTCTCTGCAGACGTGGGAGTTTTGCCATCAACAATATCCATCTTGATCATGCCAAGGTTTGTCAGGAGTAGCATTGGGTCAATCCCCTGACCACTGCTCTTAATATTCTCCAGTACCTTAAGACACTTGTATGACTTGACTTCACTTATATTTTCCTCCAAGAAGAGATTATAGAGGCTCAAATCGTTGTACCCTTCAGATTTGAAATGCAGAACATCAAAAGTAGGGAGGATTTCGTACACTTTGAGAACATCTGTCTTCTGTCGGAACGGAACAAACAGCGTGTAGATAACCACGGGAGCCAGCAGGACATAAACCACAAGGTTAATGACACTGAGCAACTGGAAGACGCCCACGGCGATGAGTTTGCACTGAAACTGATCGGGCACGGTGCTGTCGTTTCTCAGGATCCCTGATTTGATGCTGCACACAAACTCGTCTGAGAGTGAGGAGAGACTGAAGTAATAGCCCAGGTAGATACACGCTAAAAGTATAATGATGAGTGTCAGCAGGCGGCAGCTAATGTACTTAATGATTAAATTATTAGAATTTTTCTTTGTCTTCAAGTACTGCTCCACAATTGGGTACTTGAAGTGGCTTTCAGATATCTCCCACAAACTAAAACATAAAGGAAACAAAAATAACGTAGGCACTCATCAAGACCATCAAATATTAAAGGCAGATACACATTCAACAATGTCACACTAAAAATTTCAAACACCCATACTTCTTTACCTACAACTTCAGTAGAGTGGTCAAAAATAAAATCCGTTTAAAAGAGGAGGAAGAAAAGGAATAATAAAATACTTTTCCCCTTAATATGTAATAGAAGGCCTAGTTAATTAAATGAGTTAATATTTGGAAATTTTTAGAATGATGCCTGGCATCTGGTAAATCCTAAATACGTGTAAACATATGCCTCTTACAGGCGAGGGGTGGGACAGCTCAGGGGGTGTGGGCACAAACTATGGGGTCTAAAAGGCATGATTCAGTTTCCAGCACTCTTACTTATAGCTACAGAAGAGTGTTTTTATCCAGAACAAAAGTGGAGGGGGAGGTTAACAAATGCACTTAGTAATGATGCTCTGAGGGTTAAAGGAGATAATGTACTTAAATAACTCAATACGGTGTGTGGGATATATTAAATATTCAAAAAATGATGGTTCTTAATATTATTATTCCAATTATTCAGTAACAAGAACCAAAGGAAGAATGTGAAAAGGCAGGGCACAACCTACTCCTTCCCCATTTCTCTCTCATCGCTTGCTCAGCTGCCTTGAAATCCTCTGTGCATCTCCATTAAGGAGTTAAATCGATCAAAGCAAGCAAGCCTCATATAGTACCTAAATCTGTTACCCCTACAAGAACTGCATTTTTAAAATGAGATGGTAACGTTTCACTCATCAAGGGAAGGAGTCTTGACAGAAGGACAAACAAATGGGTGGGATGGGTCGGGGCGAGATTTGGGGGGAGAGGACATCCCTGGATCCTACAGGCTGTCACTAGGTGCATGACATCACCCTGCCTCCGCTCCTGCCCCACCTCCTAGCAGTGAGAACTCTGGGCCCAGACTGGCAGTAGAAGGGCAGAGAATTTGTCCTACAAAACCCGATGAGCTGCCTGGTGGGGCTAAGTTACCTTTGCCCCAAGTTCTCGGCAACACCTGGAACTGAGCAGGCTCCATCTCTCATGTCAAGGTCACACGCACTCTTTGCAGCCTTAATTGCACGGTTGTAAACTTTGTCAAGTTCTTCCATGATAAACTTCAAGTCTGAGCAAATATGAGGAGCAGCTGCAAAACGCCAGAACAGTGGGGGCAGGTACAGGAGGATTGCAAAGAGCAACAGGATGTAGGGGAAAAACTGAAAAACAAGAGAACAAATCATGGGCTTGACAGACCCCCCATGCAGTAACCTAATGGCACCAAGTGATGCTCTCATTTTCTCACATCTTGAGACCAACGTGCATTGTGGAAATTGGGCTCATTACCTAATAACTACTTCTTATGGCTAAATTCCCCTGTCCAGGTAATAACTGACACTGGTAACTACCTATTTTTTTTTAATTCCATAGGTATTAATTTGAAGTAATCAGCAACTGCATGGTGATACATGGTGTGCATGTTCTAATCACAGAAGGAAAATAAAAAAATAAAATTACTCCCATTCCCTGAACAAAATCCCAGTTAAAAAACCTGTAACTATTACAAAGGTTTCTGCTGGGTTTTTGTTGTTTAATTTTTGTGGTTTTAAGAAGCAACTAAGGCATACGGCTCCATTTTTGCCCTCCTGTGGAATCTGGGAAAATGCCAAAGAAACATGTAACTTCCCCCAAAACAAATTAGAAAAGCTTTGACTTCAGTGATTCAGTAATCATCCCAATGAGACAGCTGAAATAAGCAGTTGAATTAACAGAATGCAGAATGAACATGGAACAGACTTTGAAGGCAGTCCAACACTCTCATTGTATAGTTGGATAAACTGAGGCTCAGAAAGGCCATCCACAACGGGCAAGGGAATCAAGAGGAGAGCGTCCAGATCAGGGTGCAGACACACACCAAACAAGAGGGGATTCGCACGTCAGAGAGGGTGGGGAGCACCCCAGTAACCAAGACCACCGGTTGGTCAGAGATGGCTTAGCCTCAGCAGAAGACTTAGGAAGACTGTAAATGGCAGTCAGCACAGATCTGAACTGAAGCTCAGCACTGTGACCTTGGGGAGTGAGGTTACCGAGTCTCTGACCCTCAGTTTCCTTATCTATGAAAAGGTCATGGAATAGAGGTGTCATGAAGATTAAAGGAGATAATTGATGGAAAATGCTTAGCAAAGGGCCTGGCACGGAATAGGCACTCAAACACTCCAGGTAACCACAAAAAGGTTAGCTAGGTGGACATGTTACACTCAATCTTCACAGCAACCCTGACAGGGACTCTATATATGGCTCCATTCTGCAAATGGGAAGAGAAAGCCGGGAGCAGTTTCTGGCCCCAGATCACAAAGCTGGTAAGTGAGAATCAGACTATGTTACCAACCTCTCTGAACCCAGAGACATCTTTTTCCAATTGAACACACTCTCAAGTACTTTACTCCTCTGGAAAACTTCTCCTTACTTTTGGATGGGTCTATCTCCACCATTTCTCAGAGCTGTCACGGAAGAAGTCATGATGGCCTTAAGTTGACATGAAAACCTCCCCCGCAAACATTTCTGGAAGTGGATGGCAGACCCCACAACATGACCCTCACTGTAATTTCAGATGTACAGGGCATTCCCATCAGCCCCTCACTCAGTTTCCCCCATTGCTAATGACTCATATTTCTGTGATACATTTATCAAGACTAAGAAGCCAACACTGGCACATGCCATTATCAGAAACTAAACTTCAGACTTCTATTTGTAAAGTACACTGGTTGTTTTTCCACTATTGTCCTCTTCCTGTCCCACGATCGAATCCAGGGTACCCACTGCATTTAACTGCCATGTCTCCCTAGACTCCTTGGTTTTGTGACAGTTCTTCAATCTTTCCTTGTTTTTAAGTGCATAAAATAATATATATAGGTTCACAAAGGAAATAGAATATTGATATACAGTTATCAAAATATTAATATTTTGAATGCACTTCTTTATTCATACTTAAAATAGGATCTAGCAAATGATCTAACAGCTATTGACACTTTGAAGTTGTGAAGAGCAAACGATATTCCAGGATATCTGTGATTTTCTGTGGGTGACAAACTCACAGGTACTGCTAATATCACTATGGATTGTTGCCTACATAAAAACTTTTTTAAGCTAAATTTTATTGGAAGTGAATAAAAAATAAAGCTGTCATATATTTTCCTATCCTAGTTTGCAGGCCTCCTGTCACTATCACAGACCCACATAAGGAATCTCTGCCCCAGACGCAAGAGAGAAATAAGCACAATTGGAAGTGAATAAAAAATAAAGCTGTCATATATTTTCCTATCCTAGTTTGCAGGCCTGCTGTCACTATCACAGACCCACATAAGGAATCTCTGCCCCAGACGCAAGAGAGAAATAAGCACAAATGGCCCCAAAACTTTGCAAAGCCCTCTTACCAAGACAGCTGCTTTACTTTGGCATTCTGGCATGGGATGAGGTGTCTCAAAAGTATTAACCCAACTTGCAAAGGGCTGCTACACAATGACACACACAGCAGGTTGTGATTAGCTGAATTTTGGCTGCATAATTCATAGCTGGCTGTGGGGAAAAGGAATGTTCGTTTAATTCATGCCCAATCGGAAGGGTGCCCATTAGTTTAAAAACATAACTGTATGACACAGAATTTCTGCTGCTTCTATAACCATGAAAGCCAGGCATTCTATCTGGAAACCACAGGGAGAAAACTGTATCTAAAATGGGCTTGTGAAACATCTATATAAGTCACTTTTGTTTCAAAGCTATTTGAATAACGGCATTTCACCTCAAACTGTTCCCTTGAATTAATAAGTGACTATTTACAGTCTGTGGCATTTTTAAACATGCCCAGTGGCACAATAATTTGGTACAATAAGTGGTATAATGAATAGCTGCACAGCTCATTGTAATTAGAAAAACAAATTACATATTAGGTATAAATTTCCCTAAAATATCCTTGTACCTTGATCACCACTATAGTAACATCATTTAATGCCCCATATCTTGGTTGTCTCCACACTTAAACCTCTTTTTATTTATTTTTTCCCACCAAAAATAAAAAGGCAACTTCCAGTGAGTCTATAAAAATGTAGTAAAACAGGAAATAAGAATCCAAAAAAACCCATAAAATTAGTCTTTGAAATCCTTTTGACCAAGTAAGAAATATGGAAAAGCTGCAGGGCTTTGAGGGTGCATCTGCAGATGGAAACAGCTTTGTTCCTAGGCTGTGTCAACTCCACATTAGGCCTGGGATGCTCAGCATCTCTTGAAGCCATGATGGCACTATTTTGCACGATGCTCGAGTGAGTACTGAGCTCTTCCAAGAATAGGGAAACTTCTCAAATCCTTGTGGAACCAAGCAGCTGTCCAACTACAATTTTCAATCTATCTGCCTTAAAAATGTGTGCTGTTTCTGGAAGGGGTGATAGTTAGAACAACAGAAATCTCCAGATGGAAGGAACCTAGAGGGTGAGCCAGTACAACTTCCCTCCATATTCAAATCCTCTCTACCTCATCGACAGCAAAAAACCATCCAGTTCGGACTGAACAACTCCTCCCCTAAAATGCATGTAACCTCATCTTACGAGATTCAGTGCTGATGGGTAAATTCACTCGAAAACATCTTCTGGGGACCTGCTATGTGCCAGGCAGTGGGCTGGATGCATGACCCCCGCAGACTAGGCGCAGAGTCTACCCCAAGATCACACAGGACAGATGGGAACACAAGCTGGTCATTAAATCATCAAAACATGTAGGTACTAAGTACTGAGGCAACAGAAAAGTCTCCGGGGAGGTGGTCAGGGAAGCTTCATAAAAGAGGTAACACCTGAAATATGTCTTAAAGTACAGTGCGGCAATAAAATAAAACAAAGCCTTCTGTTAAGACTCAGCACAAATGTCACCTCTGTGACCCTCTGGAATCCCCTTTCCTCTGCTTGGAATCCTTTCCTCCTTGCTTGTCTGTTGAATTCTCACTCATCCAGAGCACCAGGGTAAATGAGCAAGCCTGTGAGTGAGGAAGTGGCCAGAGCAGAGGCCAGAAGGGCGTGCTGGGTTGAATACTGCCCCCCACCCCTAATTCATGACCACCGTGTGAGTGAGGAAGTGGCCAGAGCAGAGGCCAGAAGGGCGTGCTGGGTTGAATACTGCCCCCCACCCCTAATTCATGACCACGGGGAACCTCAGAGTGTGATACTGTTTGGAAATAGGTCTTTGCAAATATAATTAGTTAAATTAAGATAAGGTCATGATAAATTAGGGTGGGCCCCGGTCCAGTGACTTGTATCCTTATCAGAAGGCCAAATGAAGACACAGAGACAAACAGGAAGAAGCCCTGTGGTAACAGAGGTAGAGACTGGAGTGATGCATCTACCATCCTAGGAACACAGGACTGCCAGCAGCCACCAGGAACTAGAAGAAAGCACATCACAGATTCTCCCTGGATGCACCAAAAGGAGTCGAGTCAACTCTGGCAACACCTTGATTGTTCTGGTCTCCAAAACTAGGAGCAAATACATTTCTGTTGTGGTAATTTGTTACAGCAGATGAAGGAAACTCACAAAAAGAGTAAGCAGAGACTGAATTAAGGCGGCCACAAATTCCCACACCATACACAATGGGGTACCACTGGTGGAGGGCATAATCAAATATATTCCAGAAAACCACTATAGAGGCAAAGAAGAAACACACGGGAAGGAGAGAGACCAGGCAGGAGGTCACTGTGGCAGAGAGGCAGAAAGAGAAGACAGATCTGAGAGCAACAGATGGGGAAGACAGTTCAGTGTCCACACAGAAGAGGGGGGTGGAAAAGGAGAAGAACTGAGGATCACACTGGGTGTGCAGCTCATGCAAGGCCATGGGGGTTGGAACCATCAGGTGAAATAAATGAAGAGTCCCAGATTCAGAGCAGACGGGAGTGAGGTGGGAGGCAGACCTGAGAAGACGAGAAATTTTGAACATGAGACACCTGCGGTCAAAACGCCCTGGTGTGTAGTAGATAACTGAAAGTAAAGAAAAATAATCTAGCTGTACAATTCAGGATTTGGTGGCACATATGTGGTCAAAGCCAACTGTATGGTTAAGATAATCCAAGAAGAATGGGCAGAAGGAGAAGACCATGGACAGGCCTGAGACCCTATAACATTTAAGGGTCGGGCAAAAAGAGAATCTTGGAAGAAATGGACAAAAGTGGTCAGAAAGTAGGAAGTAGGTGAACCAAGAACGTCCTGCACTGGGGAAGTGGAGTAAAAAGATGCATGAAGGATGTCTGTTCTGGCTATATGCTGTTCAGGTAATATCGCACTTACAGACAATCCTAGACAGCGGGAGTCATGAGTGAATGGCTACCCCTAAAAGCTAATGTGCACACCCTGAAAAGCTTACAGAAGGTAGAAAATACAGATGGCATGGCTTCTATTCTGCACCCCAGGTGCTGTGGTTTGCACTGGGTGACATTCTGAAGTGCAGTTGGAGGGAACCCATCATGGAGAGAGCCCTGGAGAAGACAGTGAGCAAAGTATCTGTTCACAGAAGAAGGAAAAGATGCCTACCAAGATAAGTAGAACCAAGTGACAAGGAACAGCCTTCCCAGGGATCTATGAAATGCAATGAATTGTCCTATGAGGCAAGGAGCTCCCTTTCAAGGCAGTTTGTGATTATCTGGGAGAGCGTGAGTATTCTAGATTAAGGATCCATACAGTCTTCTTGTAAAGGGCCAGAGAACAAATATGACAGGTTTGAGAGCCACATGGTCTCTGTTGCAGCTGCTCAGCTCTGCCATTATGGTGCAAAAGCAGCCACAGATAATGTGTGAACAAATGGGGCACAGTTATGTTCCAATAAAATTTTATTTACAAAAACAGGTATGGACTGATTTGGCTCAAGCATGTGTGCCGTAGTTTGCCAACCCTGGCTCTGCATTCTTACTTCTCAAAGAGTGGTGTGGTCCGTAGACCACAAACCTCAGTTATCACCTGGGAGTCTGTTATAAGTGCAGAATTGCAGGTCCCCATCAGACCTGATGAATCAGAGCCTGAAGTTCAACAAAATCCGCAGGTGATCTGCATGCACAGAGAATTTGAGAAATGGTCTACATGGGTGGTGCCCACACTGTACGGCAGGACGGGCTCACATCAGAATCTCCTGGGAAGCCGATAAAAACCACATTCCTGACCTTAACCATAGAAGCTCCAACCTAATGGCCTGGATGGCCTCGGGATCCTGAATTTTCACAAGGCCACTCTGGCAATGCTAAGGTTTGGAAGCCTCTGGTCCGGAAGCCTCAGAGGATTCTTCCAACCAAGTTTCTATGAGTCTACTTAAGAGAAATAAAGATTTGCCCACTCTCTTAATTTTGTTCTTGTTTTTCTTATTGTTTTTTTTTTTTTTTTTTTTTTTCATTTCAGTCAAAAACTGACTTTCCTGTTTCAGAGAGAAATCTTACTAATAGTTGCCTCCTACATTCTAAACTTGAACAAAGGGAACAGAAAACTCAAAAGAAAAAAAAAAAAGCCAGTTCTCAAGCAGTCTTAGAGCACCACCTACCGGCCCCCCTGACTGTACCTGCATCTCCAGCAAAGGCCTCACAGTCTGTCCTTAGAGGCCATCAGTAGTGCACGGAGTGGGAGAGAAAGGGAGGAGGAAGACAGGGAGAAATCAAAGTCAGTTAGGGAGAAATGACACCATTGATCATACCAGTGTCATACCAGTGCTTACTTAAACATTATACTAAATAACTTCTTTGGAGGAACTGAACTCTCCTAACTTCAGCATCAGAATCAAATTGAGAAGTGCTGAATCAACCCTGTGCCTCTAATCCCCCATCCTTTGTCAGGATGCTCCTGGAGAACCAAGTCTGGTTCTGAACAGGACACACAGCTACCTCACTGCCCTCCTCCCTTCCACATATACTCTTCAAGCACCCACTATGGACTACGCATTGTCTCAGGGGTACAGGGATAAACAAGACATGGTCATGGTCTCTGCCTGCCTAAAGCTTACAGTCTGAAGAGATAAAGAATTAATTAAGCAGAATTATGGCAAGACATTTTCATGTGAAGCTTTCATTTTATTTGAAAGTGGTTGGGGAAGGCCTTGGAGGGCAGGAGGTAGAGATAGGGAGTGGGATGTCTGAAGTTAGTTTTAAGTGACAGCAAGTTCAGAATGAGGTGGCCACAGGAACTCATGATGGAAATGGAAAGGAGGTAAAAGTTCTTGCAGATGAGACAGAGACTGAGGCTAGATGTGCCAACCAGGAGGACACAGAAGTCACCCTGGAATGGTGAAGGAGGATGAGCATGACTGAGTCCTGAATGAATGAGGGGTAACTGGGAGAAGGTGACAGCAATGAGGAGGGCATGAGGAAGGCATAGCCAGTATCCAAAACAGCTAAGGAACTGAGTTTTCTATGAAGAAACAGTAGCAAGGTAAGGAATAAAAGCACGGGAAGAAATTACGCAAGTCCATGAGCATGGTGAACTGAGGACCTCCTGGGTCAACAGTGGGCTCCCCTGCTGGACAGCTCTTCTGCCAGAAAGATTCTCCTTGTGTTGACTGCAGCTCATCAGCAGGTAACCATCACCTACAGGCTACAGTCCAGAGTTCTGAAGCCACAGAAGTTAGAACTGGACCTTTCCACATGGGAAACATGCCTGAAATTTGAAGGAGGCTGTGGGCTCACCTGCCATCTGGCTGTGGGACCTCGGAAAAGGCACTGACCACTCTGGCCCTCGGAGTCTGAATGAGAGGACCCTAACAGTTTAACAGTCCCAAGTCTGCTCACTGTGGAGAAGCCACAAGAAAGCCTTTTTATCCTTGAAAGATAATCCAGCAATTCCACTTCGGGGTATGTATCCAAAAGAAACAAAGTGAGGACTCGAACAGATGTTCTCAGCAGCAATAGTCACAACAGGCAAGAAGTGCAAGCAACCAAGTGTCCGCTGACAAATGGATAAACAAAATCCCGTACAAACTTACAATGGGATGTTATTCAGTCTTAAAAAGGAAGGGGATTTTAATGTATGCTACCACATGAATGAACTCTGAAAACATTTTCTTAAGTGAGATAAGCCAGACACAAAAGGTCAAATATTGTATGGTTTCACTTATATAAGGTATCTAGAATAGGCAAATGTAGAGAGACAGAAAACAGAATGGAGGTTGCCAGGGGCTGCGGGGACGGGGAAATGGAAAATTACTGCTTAATAGGTGCAGGTCTCAGTTTGGGAAGATGAAAACTTCAGGAGATGGATAACGGCAATGGTTTCGCAACAATGTAAATGTACTGAATGCCACTGGGCTATATACCTACAAAGAGAAAGGTACATTTTATGTTATATATATTTTACCAAAAAAGAAAAAGAAAAACTTGAAACACAGATCAACGTAGAAATAAAGCAGGTGAGATTACTGAATCTGGCCTAAGAAAGCCACACACTAATATTCCTATCTAGTATAGGTTTTATTTCTCCAATTAGGCTGAATCTTCATTTCTCTCTAACTCCCGGAATTACCAACCAAATCCCACAAACTGTATGGCTTAAAACCACAGAAATTTGTTCTTTCATGGTTTTAGAGGTGAGGAGTTCAAAACCAAGGCGCTAGCGGGACCATGCTCCCTCCTGAGTCTCCAGGGAAGGATCCTCCCAGCCTCTTCCAGCTTCCAGGCGCCCCAGCATTCCTTGGCTTCGCAGCATAACTCCAATCCAGTCCCCTGTGGGCATGCGGCTGTTTTCTCCCTGAGTGTCTTCATGTTGTCTTCCCTCTGAGCACGTCTGTGTCCAACTTCCCCTCTTCGTATGAGGACAGCAGTCATACTGGGTTAAGGGCCCACCCTACTGCAGCAGGACCCCATCTTAACTAATTACATCTGCAATAATTGTATTTCCAAATAAGGTGTCACAGTTTAGGGCACACTGGGTTAAAACTTCAACATATCTTTCAGGGGACACAATTCAACCCATGACACCACCCAAATGTAGAGTTAACTGAAGTCTCAGTCCTCACCTTAATCACCCTCTTGGCAGCATTTGACACAGGTTATTACATTGACACCATCTTTCTTTACAAGATACCCTGCATTTCAAGCATACACACACTGTTAACACTTTCCTCATCACCCCACCTCTCTGTGTCTCCTCTGTTGACTGGTCCTACCCCACCCTCTCTCCATGTTGGAGCAGCCCTCAGACCTTGCCCCCGTCTACATATAATCACCCCCTAAGAAACCCCATCCACTCCTATAGCTTTAAACACTATTTTCTGACAATCTGCCATATCTATAGCTCTACTCTAGCCTGCAATCTCCAGACACCATATCTCACTGCCCACCTGACACATCCTCTGGACCATGGAGCATCTGATTCAACATGTTCAAGCAGAACTCTTTGATTTTCCTCCAAAATCTGCTTCTTCAAGTGTCATGAAGGTGTCATTCCATCCAGTGCCTGAAACCTTGGTCATGTCCTTCATCCTGATCTTTCTCTCATCTTCCCACGTCCAATCGGCACATCTTGTTACTTCCATATCTTAGAAAAGATGCCCCAAGCCTTAGAAAAGATGCACTTCCCACCTCCTCTGCTGTCATCCTAGACCTCAACTGCTGTCTCTCTAGACCAAGGATCAGCAAACTGCTGCCCCTGAGCCAAATCTGACCGCAAGCGATCATGTCTACTCTGCAGAACTGAGTAGCTGCGACAGTGACCGTGTGATCTGCAATGACAAAAACTTTATGATCTGGCCCTCTGCAGAAAAGTTTGCTGACCCCTGGTCTAGGCCCTTGACATCACTTTTGACTATCCTTTTGCGTGATCTTCTAATCAGCAATAAGACAGAGTATTGCTTTTTGTTTGCTCTTTGCCCTCTTAGACATAACTGCTTCTTTTCCTTTCTGTTCCCTAATGAGAACCCTCACTCTGTGCTTACCAAGTGGCTCTCCCTGCCTCTATTCCCTCCTGCACACCGTCACTGACGCTTAACTCTTGGAATTGCCAAGTTCACCCTGCTCAGGTACCTGCAATGGCTCCCGCTGTCCCCAGAATTTAGCCCATCTATCTGGTTAGTTTTCAAAGTCCCCTGTAACCTAACCTACCCTGCATAGTTAATCAACGGCCCACTGCTCCCCAGCAGGCCATGCCTTTCCCAGAAAGTGCTTCCCACCCTCCCAGGCAGTGCTTTTTTTGTGCTTGTTGGGCTGTATTTTCCTTCCAGTTGTCACCCAGCTTGTTCCTCTCTCTTCTGGTTATCAGGAAGAGAGAGTTTATGAAAAGGAAAAAAAAATTGTGAAGAAATTGTCTAATCATCTTCATTTCCTTACCTCCCATTCACTCTTCACCACAGCCATCTGCCTCCCACTTCTCCACTAAAATCATTCCTGCTGGATCCCCAATGTTTTCATTAAATCCAGTAAGTTTTATTTCTCCCAGACCGCATTGGCTTCTCTGCAGCAGCATTTAACAGTTCACTGCTGTCTGAAACACTCTCCTTTTACCATTTAGCTGATTATTCCCTTTTGCTGCCTTCTTCCATGTTTATTTTTCCACTAAACAACGAGCTCCTTGATGAAGGGACCATGTCATCTGTGGCTCTCTGTCACTGCACATACATTCTAGCATATCAATCAACGTTAGCTGAAATCAACTGTGACTAAATGTTTTCAGCTCAAGAATTTCCATTTGATTCTTTTGGTGCAATTTGCAGTCAGTTCCCTGTAAAAATCTCCATATAATCATAATTCTTTGAATATATTATTAATGATTAGTTAAAATGCATGGTTGATCAATCTACTATCTGAATCTCCATCAGGTTTGTTTCCATTTCTGATTTTTCTCTTGGTTTTCTTGTACACCTAGTTATTTCCTAGTGAGTGCTGAATATCATATATGAAAAACCTGAGCAAGAATTTGAGAGCACATAAGAGGAGGCAGAGCAAGATGGCTGAATTGAACCCTCCAATGATTGACCCCCCTGTTAGGAGATAGACAATATAAAAAGATATAAAGTATCTAGGCAAGAAAGTACCTTCTTAAGAACCAAAAAATCAGATGAGCAATCACTGTACCTGGTTTTAACATAACATGGTAAGTGGCATTGAAGAGAGTAGGAAGGACGGTCTTGCATTGCTTACACTACCCCTTCCCTAAAACCAGGCAGTACAGTCTGGAGAAAGAATCTGCGTGCTTGAAGGAGGGAGAGCAAAGTGAGTATGGGACTTTGCATTGGAACTCAGTGTTACCTTGTCATAGCCACACACAACACCAGGCAGACTTCTGCCAGGTCCCACAAAGGAAGCATTTAGACCAGCCTGGGCCAGAGGGGAATCTTCTGCCCCAGCGGGAGAAACGTGACTCCTGCTGGCTTCACCACCAATTGACTAAAGTGACCTAGGGCCCCATATAAATCTGAGTGCCAATCAGAACATAGTAACTATAGGCCTTGGACAAGCCCTGGTGCTGCACTGGTCTTAGAAACAGTGGGCTTGGGATGTGACCCAATATGACACTAACTGTACCAGCCAGGGGAACACCTGCATCACTCCTCTCCCAACTCCAAGCAGTGCAGCTTGGGGAGAGATCTTTCAACCTGGTGAAAGG